CGTGGCTCGGAAATCATGCCGCCCAGTGCAGGTACAAAGGAGAAGCGCACGGTCTCCAAGACACCAAATCGGATCTAATATATGCATATATATATATATATATATATATATGGGGATTTAAGAAATCCCCAAATTATACCACCTTTATAACATTTATGCAGCTTCACGGAATGTCCACATTTAAATGAAATCATTTCATCATTAAAGATAGCAGTTCTCTTATTTAACAACCAAAACATCATAAATCTTCAGTGTCAATTTCTCTGTAGAAGCGGAAAACTTTGACTTTAGGGAATAAATGAGTTAATGCTTACAGGAAGCCGTTTATCCTGTTTGGAATTAACACTTATGGGCAGGGAACATCTGCTACCGACATTAGAGATGGCCATTAGCCACCTGCTACTTCACAAGTGGAAGAACAACAAGTGCCGCTGTGTTATTTCCTTTGACTAAACAAAAAAGTATCAGATGGATGTGTTCGTACGAGTCAGCAACATCCGGATTAGGGCCGGCCACTTAATTGCGTTGCTTATGTACCGATTCAGTGCCACAAATCTTTGTTATCATCTGAGTGAAATAAACATAACAATTGTGGGGAGTTTGGCTCTTTTTAAAAAAGTAGAGCATCATCTATTGGCATCTGTAAGTAAATAGTAGGGGTTTGTTCAAAAATACGCGTTTCAACGAGCTTAAACCAAAAGACTTCGAACACAGACTTTCAAAATCTTGCAGATATCCTGTTGGTTTAAATGGTTAGCATGGATTTCGACAATTAAGGAAATAATAAAAAAGATATACGACACCAATTTTTTAAAGAAACTAGTAAGAAGTTTCGTTTCTCGTAATCGATAGAGAAAATTAGTGGAAGTGTACATATCTCCACCAATTTTCTTATAACAAGAAGTAAAGACTTCGAAAAAAAGAGTAATGTCTTATTCAAAGCACCTTGAGCTAGGGTGTAAAAAATAAGGGTTTTAAAAGGTGCACTTCTTCCCATTAATGAGGAAAGTCTCCAATTTCTTTCTCTTCAGCCCCAGGGATCTGTGCACGGTGAACCAATCAGAAGGCGGGAGTTGTGATTGGTCGAGCCTCGCGTCACGCTGTAACCGTTTGGAAACACCACCACCTCCAACAAGGACCGCTCATGCCCTGCCCATGTGTGCATACGTACGCAATGCCTGCCAGTCAATTTATGTAAAGTTGACGCGTTAAACGCCAGTCTTTTATTACCTTCTCTCAAAAAGTTTCCCCGTCTCTCATTCAGATTTAAGCCTTGCAAAGCAAGCCCTCACCACGTGTAAATGAAGCTGACAGTATGCCTCAAAGAAAGGGATTACTTGCTCCACAGAATACATTCCTTGATACTATAGCAACACGGTTTGATGGTACTCGTAAGTACTATGATCATTTACCATCTTAAATTATTTTTTGTGCCTTGTTTATATTTGTTGTTTAAGATAATTAATCAAACGCATCCTACGAAAGATGGATACTTGGTAAGGTTGAATTAACTACTTTAACACCCACATAACTGCTCTTTAGGGATGTAAGGCTAAATTTAGTGGTTGATAACGTAAGAAGTATTACTAAAGCTCTTACCATTTGCCCGACGAGAACAAAAACATTTAAAGCAATTTCAAGGAAACAGGTAAGGTGTTATGGTGAAGCCTAAAAGTCACGTTTTTTTGGTAGAAATAGGGGCTAAAAACGGCTTCTAAAGCTCCACTAAGCAGCTTACTTTCCGTCGAGATATGACTGACTGCTGTGTTGACGGCTCGAGCTAAGGCGATTCAAATACACTAATCAAATTTCTGCCGAGTCACCTGCGAAAATTTGATTTGGGTAAAGTGATTCGCCTCTGCAAGGCCTATTCCATGCAAGAAAAAGCAGTTGTGACAGAGCTTTTGACAGTGGGAAGTCACTAAACTCGAGGGAGCACAGGAGAAAGATATACATGACCTCCCGTCACGCACAGAGTTAGAGGGCTAAAAAAGTTCCGATCGCAGTGGAGACACTTTGCTTTGAGTGTAGGGAGACCACACAAGCATTAACGTCAACTACATCCTAGCCACTTTGTTAAAACGGAAAATTTGTTTTCCAGGTATGCAAAAGGTGAGTTTTGTGCCCTCTATGGAACACAAAATCCCGATTAAGCCCCATTAAAGTTGGTCAGGTTAATGCGAAAGTCACCTGCGCTAAAACCTCACTTCGCTGTGCCCACTTATGTTGATACTCTAGTGAGTGTCAAGAGATTTCATTTACTTTGCAACCAGTTCGTTTATAAAGAAACTTCAAAATACCTTAGAAGAGTGGAATTAATACACGCATTAAGTGGTGTGATTGTGCCCTTCTCTGAGGTAAGTAATTGTACTATTTGAGGAGAAATTAAACAGCATTTTAGGGTTTGAATTTTGCGAATGCTTTGCGAGACAGCGTAAGAAGTGAGCGTCTAGCCCTTTCGCTACATTCTGCTGGCAAGTGGGCAATCATAAAGTAGAAGCCAGACTCTGGTTAACGTGACTATTTATATCTTGTACCACCCTGATCCCAGGGTGCTTTGTGGTGGTGTTAGGCAGCAATGTCCATTCCGATTGTTCTGGGCGACTGTACCTTATGTCTAATCTGCCACAATGAGATAAATTTGCATTGTGCAGTGTTTGACGTCAACGACTCAAATAGCGTAAAAATATTTGAATATTTCCGCAAATAATAAAGCAAGTAAAGTGATAAACCAGTAGAGGAATCCCATAAGTTGTTTCCTTGTATGGCTTGTCGGGTTTTTTCTTGGGTCGGGTGACATGCGCATCAGTCCGAGGAGCAAGCAGCGACGGCAGTGATGTAGCGCTTTCCAAGGCCGAACGGGAAGACCAGCACACCTTGTCCTTGCCACTACATAATTCGTGCAGGGAATTGAAGGGGATGACAAAAAGCCTGTGTCTGCTTCTTTCGCCTTACCTTGACCGCACATTAGTGACAGGCGCGTTGGCCCATTTTTGAGCATAGTAACCAAAACAATGCCGTTTACTGCATTTCATCACGTGTTTTGGCCAGTTTAAAACTAGTATTCTGGCAAATCACTAATCAAGTATAAATTAATTTACAAAAACGTTATTTAGACAAGAAACGGCAAAATAGTAAAGGTTTTGTTTTGACGGTTTTGTTTTAAAATCTACTTATTTTTTACTAGTTTTGATGATCATGGTTTACTTGGGTTCCGGCAACTAAACAAGTTTTTCTACTTGGCGATCTGGATATGCATCACATAAAATGTTAACCTGTAGTTTAAAGTTTAAAGTCGGTTGTTCAAAGCTTTGTTACTCTGTGGGTTTTAAAACAACGTTCATTTCAGCGCAAATTGAGGGTAAACTGCTGACGGACCCCAGGTTGACGGGATCTCCAAGGTGGATTAATTTTTTGCCTAGCTTCATAGCGAAGATGAATCACCTTCAAAACGGATTAAAATCTAACGCCTAGTATTGCTACGCAATAAAGGTTTCCTTTAAAATTTGTAAACGCAATAGAGGGTTACTTAGAAAGTATTTAGAAGTTTAGCTAAAATTACAACGAAAGGGCGGAACGCATGGTTAGCACCTAACAGCTTGCTGGCTAAACTCAAAGCCCTGCTGGGTGCTTTCTTGTTTTGACAAACCCCTAATTATTTTCAAGGTGCAACTAGATAAAGACAATTCTGGATAATTAATCTTGACAACCAGACTGCGCTTTGGTGTGTTTTCGTAACTTTATAAGAACACGTAAGTATCTGAAAAAAGACATTTTTTCTATCATCAAATTACTTTGATAAGAATCTTAGCAACGTGGACAATGGCACTCCTCTGTGCATCAGTTGTTTTGCATCCCTCATAACTTCGTGGATAGGTGACATGAATTTTTTTGTCGAAGCAATTCCATGCTTAAGGATTTGCACAAAGACGAAGACTTTGAAATTGCCAAAAACTAGTTGTTACCTTTTTGCTGACAAAAACTTCACCTTAAATCCATTTTTAAGTTGAAAGACATGGCAGTTTACAGATCTGTGAAGGAACTATTGCCAATTTATGCTCTCTTCCTAATCGTATTGAAGATAATCCACGTTCTAAACTTAGTTTCATAATGCAGATCTCCAAGAATTCTTTTACTTATATTAAAAAACTTCCCAAATATTTGAATGGGAAGGGACAACCGCACTGGGTTGGTGAATAGACCGTAATGTCATCGCTCCTCTAAATTTTATAGATCGGAACGTTGGATCAGATTTAGTAGATCCGAAAACGACTGGTCCACTTTATATGAGTAAAAGATACTTGGCTTTTGGAGCAACTACATGCATTCGTGATTCCTACTGGGAACCACGGACAACACCTTAATTGGCCAATAACACGATCAAATTCCAGATCCCATTGTCCTATGACAATTTCATGAGAATTTTTAGTCAAAAAAGTATATTTAGGATGTTGCGATTGCAAATTTAGGCGAAGCATTGAACTTGGGTGAGGCATTAACCTAATACATCCAAATTTTAAAAAAAATTAGCACAAACCCCTCTCAGGCACGGAAATTTTGTGAAATTGCGAATAGAAGTATTTACAAAGTCTACTCTGCTTATTATCAAAATGAATAAGCATCATCGCAGTTTGAGTGTGAGAATTCGGAACTACCTCCTACCTCAGGTACCATGCCGATTTATAGCCGTTTGTATCGAAACTGCTATCTCGACGCCTCCGGAATATCAAAATTGAGGGAGAAAGTAAGGGTACCAATCAGCCCTTGCTGAGACCGAGGGGGGATGCTTTAGTGCCCTACTGCAGTTGCCTTGACAAGGTGGCGGAACGCACAGTAGAAGAGGTAAGCGTCGCGCTCCAAAAAAATGCGAATGACAAATGCTTTTTGATCATTTTACGGTTTCTGAACTCCACTTCCTACCCTATCAACTCTGGATGAAAATGAAGTAAGGCGAATTGTGCATGACCAAGCCTTGTTTATTAAAGCGACTTAAAACACAAATGGCTGATGAAAAAATGGAAGCTAACCACTGTAGGGATGTGAGACGAGGTGTACGATATCAGTTGTTTTGAATTGTAATTTAAAAATGCCAAAAAAGGCATCTCAAAAATGACCAATTTTGAGAATTTAATTACTTGACAGCTTTGAAATGAGGTGTCTAACGCGTACTGCTTTTTAGACAGCAATTTCGTACTGGGGAATGCACAAGTGAAGGAGTACCCCATAGTCTACTGTTCGGATGGCTTTGTTGAGTTGACGGGTTTCAGCCGCTCGCAGATCATGTCACGTTCCTGCAGTTGTGCTTTCCTCTGGGGTCCCAACACCAGTGAGACCGCCAAGGACAGCATCTGGTCCGCGTTGAAGGTGCATACGGAGCTCAAGATAGAGGTTATTTTCCACAAAAGGAACGGTGCGTTTCCTCTAGTCACCTGAATTTGATGAAACATTTAAACAGCACCGTTGATGTTTATCTTCATCTGGTTCTACCCTTCACTACGGTTTTGTAATCGAAGGAATAGTGTCTCAGTTTCTGTTTTTTGTTTTAACCAGTAAAAATGTAGTTTTTAACCTCCTGTGAGTGTAAAAAATTTTACTGGCAAAAGCCTAGTTTTCTCGTTACAGGGTTCTAAGTGAATGCCAAATATTAGCGCTAGAATTTTCTCTTATTTGATGCTTCCAAGACACCTGGAGAGTTTTATCTAAAGATTAGGCAAAAATCATGTCCGGGATGATTTTAGTGGATTGTTTTTAAACCACTATTCACTCAGGCCTGTTCCAAGTCTGTCTGAGTCCGATGACTGTCAAATAAGCACCCGCATTCGATCAAACGGCAGACAATTTGATGAGACGAATGGGAGTGGGAGGTGGGTGAGGGGCGGCAGATGGGCCAAAGCGTCTTCATTAATTTTCGTTTAGACAAATTAAAACAGAAAGATGGAAAAATTGCCATATGAACTGTGTAAATTGCAGACTCCTAAATTAATACATCAGGGACAGGTAAGACTCGTTTAAATAAAGCATGTGGTTTTAAGGCAATAAAATACGACTGGCTAGTTGTAGAACTACAGGCTTGATGTTTCCCACTTTCACCTTTGCTTTCATGCCCTTGAAACGAGAAGACGAGTTGGACGAGGCCATGCTTTATTGGGTAGCAGTAAGTAAAAGGGTAGAGATGTCACGGTTTGATCATGTTCAGGGTACATTCCCTCTGCTTTGGGCGGCTGATGGCGTCCGATTCGTCAGGGGGCTCGTATTTACAGACCGCCTCTCGCCTAAAAGGTACATTCAAATATGCGTGGATTACAGTAGTTCTGGCAAACACCACCACATGACTTCGGTGGATGCTGCAAATTGCTGAGCTACTGCACCTCCATCATTGAATCTGAGGCGAGGTGTGAATACCTATTCCCTGGCACAACCAAACTGCTGTTTTTAATTCCAAAAACGTTCAATTTCCAGCGAATAACAGACAAAATTACTAATCCAGCATCGAATAGCAAATGTAAGGAGGATACAAAAATGTGTGAATTCAAAACACGAACGAAACCATGGACAAAAATACTCTCGCCTGAAGATACCGTCCGAGTAGCAGTAGCCGCTATTTGGTGAAGCGCATGAATTTTTGGCAAAACTATCTTTCAGCAATGAAGGTCTCATAAAAACACAACATTCATAGACTCGCTAAAAAAACAACTTCTTCTATGCTGCTTTTTCGGAGGATAAATGTCACTCCTGTGCTGTGAAATAAGGTGGCTTGAATGCTTTCCAGAGGTAGTGAAACAGCTTACAATGTATCTTAGACACCAAACCCTCATTTTTCAATAAGATTGCTAAAAAAAGAAAAAAAACTTGTTTGAATGACTAAAATAAATGTAGACAAAACTTTAAACGAATGAAACCGGTTTATTTTGGCACACTTTTCCGGGTAGCTAACTAAACTACCTACCCATTCATATTTTGGTTTGTAGGAGCGTCTTTCAACTGCCTCTTGGATATCGTGCCGATAAAGAATGAGAAGGGTCAAGTTGTATTGTTCCTAGTCTCGCACAAGGACCTGACAGCACAGAAGAAGACATCAGGTAGACGTTTCGCTCGTTGTTTTTGATCTGACCTCTTTTCCCACACATAAACAACAATGTATGAATAGCGTATCCGCTACCGACCGACAAAGGAGAGGAAACCCTTTAAACAGCTCCATTTCCAAGGCTGGCAAACATCATGTTACAGTATTTAAATATAGCTGCGCTTGTGCTGAAGGCAAGATACTTACTGCATAAATTGCTACTCCTGAGATAGAGCTATTTTACCTCTGCTTGGATAGGGAGAGCTATTTTAAGCCGAAAAGCAAGACTAATGGGGTACTGGCGTTTAGTAAGCAGGAGCCTTAAGGATTGCCCTATTTTATAACTCAGAAGCAGTCTTATACCTTCATATGCTCCAAATACATTAGTAGAGCAGTACTTTAGCTGACGATCCGCGGGTGTAATTGTCTTGATTCACATTAGATGGAGGTACAAGGAGGGGAAGAAGTTGTGATTTGGGTGACTTGGGAAGAGGTACATGTTTGTTGGAATGCTCCTTACGCATTTCTGTTAGCCATTCCTTTAAAAGACGAATTAAACAAATTTTAGGCTTTATTGATACAGAATTACACTAAAATTATAAACCCTTTTCTCAAGTAATTCACATTCATTCTCAAATCTACCGCCTTTTTAAATAACTGGAGGCTGCACCGGTTCCCAACCGCTCCGCAGTAATAAAAACGCAAGGAAGGAGTTGCATTTATCGTCAAGCATTTTCAGAAAATGGGTTGTGCATTTTAAACGGTTTGGGGAGGCTGGCAAACCACCTAAGCTAATTACTTTCAAGATGTCTCTGCGTACCCCTCCTCCTCTTCGGTCGAGGGCAAAAATGCTCAATCCGACGTCGCCCATATCTCGTGCTTACTTTGTACCCATGACCAGTCCAAACGGTTTTTTTGACTTAAAATTTTACAAATCAGCACAAAAGTGCAAAAAACATGTCAGCATAATTTTGTGAGAACTCAAAAGTGGTCTAACTGGACAAAGTGTACCGAAAGTGGAGCTCGTTTACATTTCGGCCATTTAAGAGCAGAAGCTCTGGGAAATTGGCAAATTTAAAACTTATTTGCACAGAATTTTGCCTCGTTAGAAATGGTAAAAAAGGCTTCAGAAGTAGGTAATATCTAGTTTTATCTGCTTCATGAGGACGGGGAAGACATCAGCTTGTAACTAATCCTGCCCACGATGAAGTTAATAAGAAAGTTTTGTGCCCCTCTCTTTAACATCTGGAACGATAATACTGATTTTTAAGGGGCAGTGGATCTTCTGTCTCAACTCCTAAAATATAAGAAAAGTGATTGACTCGCCCATTAGATTCGTTTACAAACGAAGCAACATAACAGTCCTCGGAGGTACTCCGTTTAGCGAAGCCGCTTTTAAGCCTAGCAAAAGTCTCAACGCCAGCTCTACTGTTCGCCAAAAACAATCTTTCTAAATCCTTAACAGAGTAATTGTCTACAAAATCCGAATTGAGGGAATTATTCTTTATCTTGTCCGCCATCAAATTTAGCGGAGTGTCTCAACGTGCACTTAAGGATCAGAAAGATTAAGGGAGGAGGCGGTCCTACCGGGTTAAAGCCCTTTCAGTTTCTGTAATCTAAGGGCTTGCGTCATTCTCAAAAACGTTATTCTGTTCCACTATTTCGTGCTCAATCTAATAAAACTTAAAACAAAAGTGCAAATCAGTTTACCTTTTGGGTTTCCTGTAAGTTAATTCATTTTCTCTTGGCCCTTTTGGTCAAAATTTCATTTGTATTAGAGAAAAACTCTCTCTTCTAAGAGTTATAAAATTTTTTTACTAAACACCGGAAGTTTTGGCAGTTTGGATGCACCATTACAATCTCTGAATGTAGGAATCACAACCAGTCTTCTGTCCTGTGGTCTGGCCTCAACTCTTACACCAGCGGCGTTGGTTGCCAAGCGACAACCGGCTCTAGTGCTTCCCTCAGGAAACCAGATTCCCCACCGAGTAGTACCCATCCGCCGCGGCAATACCGCCCATCCTGTGAACACCTCCTCTGTACCCTCTACCTCCGCCTCGGCCACGCCTCTTCTCAACCGCCGAGCTTCCGCACCCCAAGGAGAAAGGGAGTCGGCAGTGTGTTTTCGATTCGGCTCCACTTTCGGCATTCGTCATAGTTTAGTTCCGCACTGGAATAAAAATGAGGTGGTTTCCTCTGCCCCTTCACCTCCATCAACACATTCGTTATCACGGCAACAACAACAACCACCGCAAGCGTCACCTTCGTCGGCGACAAAAACGCTTGCTCTTCCATCACCAAATTATGCCAATCATCTCCTCATTGACTCGGAGAGCTTTTCGGATTATTCGCAGGCCTCTTCCAAAAAACCGAAGGAGCAGGTTTCCTCCTCTTCCTCCTCATCTTCACCTACCGAGTCGGATGATGGTACCTCCTCCTCCACCTTCAAATACCAGAGACGCAGAAGTCGGGCTGTTCTCTACCACCTCTCAGGCCGGTTCGACAAAAAGAATAAACACAATAAGCTCAATTTTAAACGTGTGGTGAGTAAGCCGGTTAGCCTTTGCCTTCCTTTATAGCTCAAGGTCCTTTTGTCGTCCTAAATACTCTTTATTTTTGAAAGAGGAGATATTAACGGTTAGGTGGGAGTAAAATTTGCCTAATTTCTTGTATATTTCTCTGTGTGGGACGTAATTGTGCAAATGTTTTGTTACTCCTGCAAAATATGCAGAATTTGGGGCAACCTATTCACTTTGTGAAACAACTGCAAACCTATGTTGCAACCAGTTGCGAGGGTTGGTGGGATTTTTTCAGAACAAAAAGCACAAGTTTGAATCACAGAGGAGTAAAGCTGAAAGCGAGGTTGAAAGACAACTAGTGGACTAAATTTGTAACATTTTATTATCTGTTGGGGCATAATTTATTCGCTTTTGTTTAGTGACTTGTGAGTGCCTTAAGGGTATTTTTTTGACTCCAAGAGGAATTTATGAGCCGGGAACCCTAAAAGAAGTGGACTTAACCGTAGGAGTGTAAATGTCTTGATATCTAAAAGGTGAATTTTTTCAACATTTAAAAGGGCACTTTTTAAGAATTAAGCACAGGATAAGAGTGATGTGTATGTGTAACACATACCAAAAATGTTTGTAGAAAAATGTACTCTTTTCCCCTTTTTGAGCCACATTCTACCAATGAGGTGACGGATTCAAGTTTAAACAAAAATTGCCAAGCCAGTTATAAAAAATAAGTTTCGGTGAGCTACTCAGCTTTGAGTTAAGGGAATTCGGCTCAGTGACAAGGCGAATGTGATCAGAGGGGAGTAATGCTGGTGGATGTTTATTCTTTAACAGATGTATGCACTCCTCAGTCGAGGTTCCCATTGCACAAATCAAATAAAATATTCCTTTTATTAAACCTTGTTAAAAATTAGATAGATAAAGAGGTACCCTACATTGAGGCACTGATCGTGAGCTTAATAACCGAAAGAGAATGTTTAGTGCGATCCAAAACTTTTGCATATTCGCCAATTTAAAACTGATGGAATTTGCATTTAGAACCTATTTGACTTCCACCTTGGCACTTTTTCCAGTGGAGTTTTGAGCTTCAAACCGAATCTTATTCAAAATCACTTTAAAGTATGCACCAAATTTAAGCGGAAAGTAGATAAAGGCCGCGTTAATCAAGTCTTTATCTTTTGAAAGCTGGTTTCAACTGACTAATTTTTCGGCAAAATTGATTTTGAAAAAAATAAATCACATTTTTGCGTGCCTTTGTAAACTGCTGTACCCACAAGCCTTGATGAGACCCTTTTGCTTTGGGGTAGAGAGTCGCCGCTGGAATACAAAACGCATTCTGTCGTGGTTGCACAGCTGCAAATTTTGTTGCAATACCAGCTCATGAATAAATATCTTTTTACGATATTCCTAAAGCGCTTTATGAAGTAACGTTGCTTGTATCAATGTCCAACCTCGAGAGATTTTCTTACCATAGTTGCAAACACCATTCCGGTTAGGCTACTTTTTAGGGGGAGGCAAGTCAAGTCTCCGCATTTCGGCGGAATTTGACTTCTCGGTTTTTTACAAAGAGTATAAATATGGGAAAGGTCACTGGGTTCTCGTACGTGTAGTTTCTGCAGCAGCGAGATTATGACCTTCAATTAACCCCCATTTTACCCCCAAATGACTGCTAATGCGGGTGGATGGGAAGAATTTTTGAACAATTATATCCATACAAAGTCTCACTTTCGCAGCCAAGTAATTCGTTAGAATGTTAGGTGAAATTTACGCTTGTGTCGCTTTTCCCATTTTCCCCTAGGAGGTGTCCACTTGTATGTGGTCTCAGGTTTGTTTACTGACCCGGTGCTATCCTTTAAATGGTTTTGAAGATATCACAACTTGTCCTTTCTAATCACTTTGCAATCGTCCTATAATACAAATCAGTTATTTCTATTTCCTTTTCTTTTGATAAAGCTGAAAAACGCTAATTTTTACTAACATTCTTAGCGGCCCAATAAAGAGAAATGACTACAAGTTCCAGTGAATTTGAAGAATTCAGAAGTATCGCACGATTCTATGATTAAACAACTTTTTCTTGATAATTTATAGTAGTTGCCACAAAAAAACATCCTAGTACATAATTTCACTTCGTAACTTCCATAATATTTATTCAGGGAGGAGGGTAAAGTACTTTTCAAAACAGAACGAGGATTAAGACGTGTGTATCAAATGACATTTTCCACTTCCATGGTCTTTAAATTGCGCAGTCACAAAACTCTAAATTAAATGTAAATCCCTTTTTTTGCTCAACGTTATATATATAATAGCTTTAGCCCTAGTAGAATATTTATTTATTACCTCCACAACCTATAGGTGGTTCCTAGAAGAATGGAATCCACTTTAATTTGTCATACTTTTTTCCATATCTACAGCCGCTTGAAGCGTTTCCATTTCTGGCATCAGGAAAGTGGGTCTTCTTTGATTCACAGACACATACTTTCTGATCTTCACCTTTGCCAGAATCGAAAATACCAAAACGATGAAGATTGACCATCCACTTTACTTCCGCACACAATCATGTTATCCTCTTTTCTTTTTTCAGCTTCCACATCTCTCCACCAAGAATTCCATTCCTGAGTACAAAGTGCAGGATCTGAAGGCCTCGCGGTGTATTCTCTTGCATTACAGCATTCTCAAAATAGTCTGGGACTGGCTGATTGTCCTTTGCACCTTCTACTTTGCCGTCATGGTGCCCTACAATGCAGCCTTCCAGAGGGACAGCAATGAAAGAACTCTCCGCACCCTCGATATGATTATTGAGGTGCTTTTCATTGTTGGTGAGTTCGCGGGTGGCTTTTGTGTGGAGCTAAATTAAACTCTTTTAGAGGATATTTCGCTAGCAGACACCTTCCATATAAATGATGAGTTTGTGATTGGATTGGTGGAAATTCTGCCTTAGGATTTGGTAGGACTGCTGCTTCTTAAAAGCGAGCAGCAATTTAAAGTCCTGGTTAAAAGTATAAGTTACCATCAGCTTTCAATAGAATTTTCTGGAATTAGCGACTTAATTTCTGGGTGGTTTTTCGATGTCAATTGCATGATGCTATTGTGAAACCAGAGGAGACTCAACTCTATGCTCCCCTTGAAAATAAACAGCGAAATGGCTACATTTAGAAGTACGAAATGCCAATGGAAAAGGTTTGCTAAATACTTGAATCAGCTTCCAATTCTTGACTTCTAGTAGAATAGGCGAATAGCAATAAAAACAAATTCTAGAAAAAATGTAAGGTTAGTGAAGGCAGCACAAAGGGATCTATTGTGGAAAAAATAAATTTAGCAGTTTAGTCTTTTGGGCCGTTTTAAGATTGCAGCTGCCAAAAAAACAAGGCTGTAGAGAAAATAAGCCAACTGCCGCACAAAAATAGACAAGAATGACAATTTTTACAATTTGATGGGCAATTTTGAAGTTTGCTTATTATTGGGAATAAGCGAATTTGCCCGCGGCTATACGGCTTATGGAAAAACATGCTTTACTAGGAAAAATTCGTGGACGTTGTTTGACCCTCCTTGCATACCTCCATCACAGTTTTAGTCGTTTAACATAGACAACGAATTGAGGGTTTTACACAACACGATTCGAGCAAAATCCCAAGTACCTCACTAAGAATGGAATTTAATGGTAAAAACTAGGTGCCATGAGCAAAGTTTAAACCAAAAACTAGTTTGCTACTTTTAAACGCTGGTTTCTACCGAGATTAGAGGTAGGTCAAGTCTCCACGTGTAAATACCCACTCGGGTTAATGCGACCTGCCAAGTTTGTGTACCTAGGCTGATCGTAGTGTCTTGAATCTAGCCACACAGAGCATTCTCTTGGTCTCGGTTTTATTCACCCAAAACGGTGGGAGCAGCCTTATTTGTCGGCTCACTCCCCTACAAACTAGTGGAGGCGATGTTAGGCTCAGGATTGGGAGCGCTAGGTTCTCTTGTCAACCAATTTGTAATAAAAACGAAATGTAAATAAAATATTCCAACGAATTTTAAAGACTTCGGCTTTTAAAGGTCAAACATTTGAGGCCGCTTTGTTATATAAGCATGTGATTAGTCTGACCTTCGCAACACCCATGAAACCACCACCCTAAGGTCACTGAATTTATCATAACAAGGTGTACTTCGTAGACAGCTTGGAATATGCTGACAGGAGATCCTGACCTGAGGGTTCAATTGGCTTCCTAGACTTTGCTCTCAGAGGTAAACAAAGTGGACACATTTGCCTAATGAGTGCCATCAAAAGACAGATTGGCCGTGACCCATCCCGTGTTGGTAAATAAACAATGCACAGACTCACTTCCTCTTGCACCATTTAAAAACAAATTCTGGTAGCAACAATTCTGCTCGGCCATTTGATCAAGCATTTATTTAACGTATAATCAAAAAGATACATTGCTTAAATAAATCCACTTGGGTTTGATAACAGTGTTTAGCACGCTCTAGACACATTAAGGTAGGTCTTTCCCAAGTAAGGTGGTTTTATAGACCCGACGATTTAGTTTACTTGCAGCTAGTTTTCATGCTAAACGGTGCATTTCTGCTGATATACCTACTTTAATTAGTCAGAAGTGGGTGCCTTTTAGGCCCTCCTTAATATTGTGGAAACATATTCACTATAATCTTGGTCTGCTTGCAGACATATTACTGAATTTTCGGACGACGTTTGTCAGTAAAAGCGGACAAGTAGTACACCACTCGAAGGAGATCGCCCTGAACTACATCCGTGGATGGTTCATTCTCGATCTCATCGCGGCTGTCCCCTTTGATGTGATCTGGACTATCCAAAGTCCTGAATCGCCTGTGGTAATTTTTATGTTATCCGTCCCTTACTAGATACCTCTCCTTTATCTCCAACTGCCCTATTTTGAATAGTGGCAGTCATTTAAAAAAATCGCTTAAACTTCTATTCAAGTGGATTGAGAATCAGACCAATGAGAATAATTGAAAGCATAAATCTGTTAGTAGGACTGCACTAAGGAAACGACCTTGTTTACTGAGCAGCCTGGAGAAGGCTTCAAGTGTAGAAAAGACAACTCAAATGGAAAGAACAAAAAAGTTATTAAATTTTTTTTTCAAGTTAAAAACACTATTTGTATACCTTCCCTTGTATGCGTGGTGCTGCAACAACACCCTCAAAGGTTTCGAGTGCCTAAGAAAGACAAAATTTGAAAAGTTTGAAAATTTTGATAAGTAAATTAGAAAGATGCTTTTTTTAGACTTAATAAGGATTTTTTGTAACTGCATAACACGAGTCTGGAATTAGGAAACACAATAAGTTAGCAGATGAGTCCAATGTAGAATGTTTAGCTCCAATACAGTGTGTGGAACAAATTGACTGGAGATGGACTGCATAATATCAGTATGTTTAAAAAAGTAGCAAGTTTATTTACTCACGTATTTGTTTATTAATGCCTTACTACCGCCCGTGCCTTCTCCACTAGTTGATCTCTAATTCTAGTCACCTAGTCGGCTATTTGTACACAAAATCCCTGGTCAGTTCATCCACCCTCTTCTCGGCCTATAGGATGTTTCTTCTTGGCAGAGAATAACTTGCCTTCCCGTAAATACTATTAAATAGCGTCGACGAGAACGTGGAAACACTTCTTACTCTCACACGAACCTAATCAGAAATGCAGCCTCCTTCGCCGCATCCCACCCCACCGCATCCTCCCCGACCTGACCTTTTTTTCGTGTTCATGCCAAGGCAAATTGGATGCATCTGATGAAACTGGCACGATTGCTTCGACTGGCACGACTTTTTCAGAAAATCGAGCGCTACTCCCAATACAACGCGGTGGTTCTGAGCATTCTGATGTGCATGTTTTTCCTCCTCGCCCATTGGTTCGCCTGTGGATGGTTCGGACTGGGCAGTCGAGAGCTCATGAACCTGAAGACGCGAAATCACAGTGAGTCCCCATCTCCCGCTTACCCATTTGAGAGTAGGAAAACTCTGAAGCATTTTTATGGCGTTGCCAACCCTCTAGTCGGATTGGATCGTGTAATGTAATTCAATGAGTCTTAGACAGAAACTCCCAGTAATTAGTGACGTCACGATTCTTCCTGATGTTTTGAATAGACACCACATAAATGATGAAAAATAGCATTAAACGAGGCTTCAAAAGGGTAAATGTTTGCATTCAAAATAAAAAAATTCTGAGTGGAATTTGATGTAATCAAATTAGGATTGCTGTTGTCTCAAAGAAAGACAACTCTGGGATAGCAGAACACGGTTTATTTTTAAAGGCAATTTCATAAAAAGGTTGATAAGCCAAAAGTGGAATGGTCAGGAGGTCTTGTGATAGTTTTAAGGTTGTGTAGTTTTGCCTTATAAGAACCATTTATGAAAGAGAGCTCATTACAGCCCATTACTTGCAGTTGTTTAGCCACATACAAACGGAGAAGGCTGGGGCAAACATTTTCTCCGACTTTTGTTAGCAGGTTGGACTTCTTCGGAAGACGACTATCAGCCTTTTATGGCAAATTGGAAATAGAGTCACATCGACACAGTAAAAGCTGTAAATGTTAGTGATAAAAACCTGAAGATATTGTCAAGATAATTGCAAAAGCAAACTGATAAAGGGAGAAAGCATCAGATTGTAGTAATTAACAGCCATGCATTGGCGTGTAGCTCGGCATTTATTGCACCTTGCCCATGCAAAGCAAAACAGACTATAAAATAGTTGCAGACATCCGCAAACAGCTCATTTGCCTGAGTTCCTTAGATCACCCAGTTTTTAAACTAACTGATTTGCCTTGAAGGGGAAAAGATGAGTCTCCTTGCAGTATGTAAAATACTTCTAGACGAGCCTTCATATATCCAGTGGAAAATCAGTCCTCATTTGAAATGCTACTTGACCTTATGCTTCGTGTTTTACGAGGTATAACAAAGTAGCTTTATTTAGGCACCTTTTTAGCTGTAAGTGTGAAGCAGGCAAACTCAAATGAGGTAACTGTATCTCCCCGAGTCTTCCCTGAAGACGAAAGAAGTCCTAACACTGATAGTGGCCCGATGGCTATGCCACTTGGCGGAAGTACAAAGGTGGCGCCTTCAGTGCCCGCAAAACCAAAACATAGAGTTTGACAAACAATCGAAGTGTCACATAGCAGAGCGGGAGACCTTGAGCGAACCACTTCAGGTAGTCGGAAGAACATTGCACCATCGATTACATCAGGCTTCCAAGGCAACTTTTGAGTTTAAACTATCTACTCAAATAAACGTTGCCAAGTATGCTTAATTGTAATTTACACCGCTTAGTAAATGAGTGGATCTCTTCGCTACAAAAACTGATTACATTGTTGCTTATTAAAATCCGTTGGTTGTTTATCCATTTTTGAGAAATGCTTCACCATTATTTAAGTCGGACTGCATCGGGTCCCATTTTGTTAAAGACCTGTCAAGGCATATTATATGCGATTAGGATAAGAGTTGAGGGGAAACACGTTTGTCTTCATTTTTAATATAAATTACTTCTTTTCAGTTTGAATGATGTCTATCCGCTAAATAGCAGAAAGTAGATAACAAAACCTAGCTTTGCAAACCGGTGCATTTAAGCTCTGTCACTGATAACTAGACTTACCCATCTACACAATGGGTGTTAAAGTGAAACGAATCCCAGACTTGCTGATTAAGCGATGATCGTGAATAAGTTATTTTGACGTTTTTAATTTGTAAGATCCTCACCACTTCGTTAAGCAAGGAGTAGTTAATGTGGTATGACACTTTGCTACGGTTTAAAACGGAACGGCATTACTCTGTATAGTGCAGATATGTCCTGTTGAGTTTCAGTAAGAAGGCATCCCACTTTTCATAAAAATATGCGCAAATTGGATTTGACTTTTAGCATCCCCGTTATTGCGATTGGGCCACCAGTGGCACGTCAACGTGACACGTGCTGCTTATCACCCTGTGGTGGACAGACGTTTGCACCAAATCGTGACCTAAAAAATACTGCAGAATCGTCTTTTTTCCGGCGCTCATCGCGATTCTCTCCATATTTATAGATATATTTTTACTTGACTTAATGTAATCAGTACTTTTAACCCAAGTTATGTGCTTTACAATTTTGGAACTTATATCTTTTATCGCCCTAAAATCGGTGCGACAATTCCCCATTAATTTTTAAAGTTTTCACTGAAGTGACTACTTTTGATTGCGTTTCTCATCCACTGTTGCAAAGTCTTTAATACCGAGAATCGCAAAGTAAAGTACTCAAAACGTTTTGTCAAACGGAAAAGGTAGATAAAATTTACCTCTAGACGAACAAGACTGAGAAGCCGCGAACGAAACTAAAATGAGATTTGGATATTCTTTAAATTTGAACATACCAACTTCATATAAAATTGGGCCTACACGAGAATGTACTACTTACAATGCGTTTTATTTATCCCTCTTTCCGGCAAATGGGCATAGTTGTGGTGTTTCTAGACTGTATGCTCCGCTTGAAATACCGGAAAAAGCTGCATTTAACACTTCTTCGAAAGCCATCATTGGAAAGGTATTGACCACACTAATCTATTAAAGGAGCAAAAAAGAACGTATAACTAATGTCATGAGATTTTAAAATCCACATTAACTTCAAACAATGCCAAGTTGTCTGATTCGCAAACAGTACATCACAGACTGGTGGCTATCATTCTTCTTCGCTTTTAACGGCAACATTCACCTTCTTAATATGTCTTCATGATTTGCCTTTAATTTAAAGATGAGACCTCTTTTAAAATTTTGAGTGGAAAAGAGTGCCCAAATTGTACATAACATGTTTGCTACCAGAATCTTAGTGGGAAATGGATTACCACACCCCAATTCTTCATCCTTCTAATACTAGCACCGAGTAGCGCTTAGAGGGTTTTTCTCAACAAATAAATCTCTACTTTAATTAAATGCGTCATTTATGTGTGGCGTACAGACTTAGGTGGGAAATTGGCAGGGTCAGGCCGAATTATTTGCCAGGGGGAGATCAGCCACCACGGGCAGGATGCTTTGCTGTGTCAATATGACAACCATTGTCTCCACGTTTTCCCTTTCCGTTTAATTTACTTCCTTTTTTTCTAATTAAATATGGTGTACGAATTGTCAGACCGAATCCTAGGGTTGTGCCATATCATTTTACCTCAAATTAAAGATGATGGTTGGTCATTTTGACTTAGTAGATAATGTACGGTGTAAAAGCTTTGGAAAACATTAAAAATGAAGAGAAATCAATGTTTCTAACAGGCTAACTGGAAATTTAGCATATATGCGTGTACTCAACTTGACACTGATATGCGTCAAAGTGGTGCGATTAAAATTTAATTTTGACAGTACAGAAAACGGTCGGATGACAGTTAAATTATTACTTCGGCGCTCCAAATGCGCAAAGGAGAAAAGGGCCTCCGTAGAAATGCCTGAACAATTTAGGTTTGCTCTTAGATTCTCTTTTCGTTATGTGAAAACCCAACTATCTACTCAAAGAAGTATTTACTCCAGATGGCGACACACCTTGCACTATTTTATCCTCAACTTGATGCGCAAATATTAAGCGGGGGAGATTAAAACATTCCTACTAGGCGTAGATTTTACGACGAGACTGATTCTTTAGGAAAAAAGACATTATGAGGCACGTGTGAGTTCATAATCCCCCAAAGTTTACTTCCAAGCAAAAAATGCAAACGAGTTTTCAAGGCTAAAACAGCGCAAAAAAAACAACTGAACAATTAAGTATGTTTGCCCATACGACCTGTAAAAACGAAATTTCCTTTGATCTCACCGACTCATAAAATGAGAAAAAGTTAAGAGGCCATTATAGGAAGTGTATAAATCCGCAAACAGGATGGTCACGATTGTTTGTGGGATTGGAGTAATCCCTTAATTCATTAATACTTGTTAGAAGCCAAATCCATAAAAGCCTTTAGCTTTTATTCAAGGAACAATTGTTTTACTTTAACGAGATTTATTTGAATAATACGTTACTAATTTGGCCTTGACGATTGGGTTTGGTGTAAAATGGCCGGGCTGACTCGACGTTAATCAGTTCTGTATTTGTACACCAAACAGATCTTTGATAGAAAACTATCAAACAGAGGACATTGTCTCTTTATTTACTTTATGCCATAAGGGTGTGTGCGTGCCCGTTTTTTTCCCAAGACCAGGAAGGCAGCGCCAACGGCTTTTGAAAAACGAAAACAATGGAAGGTGCGGAAGTCTCACACTCCAAATTACCACCCACAATGAATGGAACAAGTCTGCTCCGAAGAAGGAACCTTCACAAACGATACAGAAAAACAACTAGACTAAGTTAAACAAAATGGACTAGTCGGTTGTTAAAAATGTAGAATTTATGCTGTTCCCCTCCGAAAGAATTCAGTCAACGATAGTAGGCGTTATAGCTTCTGAGCTAGTCTAACAGGCTGCACTTCAAATTATTTCTAAAACAACGTTAAAGTATAGTGAAATCTGCCAGGTTCAAAGTGCGATCCTATCAGTCATTCGCGACACCTTCCACACCAACCCTGCTACCCTACCACATTGCCTGATGACAGAACACGTGCTCTGTTGTGTTGTAGAAATTTTCTCAGTGCAAATACTGAATGATAAATCACAAACGAATAGGACCACTCTTTTCGCGTAAAGTTTAAATTAATCGGACTAAAACTGTACGGTACAAAGTTTCTTTGGCCAGGCAGGATTGTTGGAAAGGGCAGAAATCAAGAAAAGCTGATTAAACGGAAGCCACTTTTCTTTGTTTCAACTCAAGTATGCAACTGGGGTAGACATACACCTTGAGATGCTATGACAATAATTCATCTGTGGGTCTTCAGCCCTTTTCAAACCATTTCTGGTGTTTTTCGTAGTTTACTTTTTGCTCTACCTTCCTATTAAATTCGGTTAAGTTTGCCATCCAAAAAAATCCTAGATTTAATGGACATATTTAACATTTTAGAATGCAGAACCTACTTGCAAGTAATACTTTTGACAAAGCACTGGAACTTATGTGCCTTGTAAAAGGGATGCAGTGGCTAGGGCTTGGTAACCTTACAAGGATGCTTAATAATTTAACTTTTTATGCCTCTTGAAGCAGTATATTGTAAAGAACTTCATGATTTATTGCGCAAAATGCACAGTTTCCCTTATTCCTTAGCCTTAATCAACGGCTCGAACAAATTTGCCCACAAGGCACCTTGTACCCTCCCTGTAATGATAGTAGCACCACATCACAGCTCCCAGAACATTTCAAGCAAAAGTAGCAAATAAGCACAACTAATTAACAACGAGATGGCGCTTATTTCCTCGTTTAAGTAAACCCTCTGGGAGCAACTGCTCTCCCGCGGGGATTGAAGCGCTTTGACCGTAGATAAGAGTCCTCCTAATGCGAATGCGACATCATGAGGGTAAAGTGCCTTGGAGAAAATGTCGCACACACATTCCTCTGCTACTAACCAGACAATTTCTTTCTTTCCTTTCACACTTTAATGTTTGCCTCAACCGGCTATAAATGTGTGCGCTCTGGTAATTGGGCCTGGGCTAAATAAATTCCCCTTCCACCGCACTTAAACATTTAACTCAGGTAATTAATTCCAAACAATTGCCGAACTCTTCTTTGGGACATTTAAAATCATCTGCCATAAATTTCTTGAAGGTATCTCATTAACGGCTCATCAATTTGGTGATAATTGGGGTTCATTCCACCCAACCTTCGCAAACAGTACTTATCAAGTTTCCATGACTTCTCCTGTAACAATGCAAAAGGTCCCAAATAAGGTATGAAATAATTTTCATAAACTGAATTCAAATCCTTTCATTTGTTTATCCCAACTAATTCCCATATTATTACCGAAGGAGACACTTCCTTATCGTATGGACCTAATATAATCACCCTAATTGGACGATGATGATGATCCCTACTGCACACAAGCGCCATTTCTTTTCGGAAATTGAAAAATTTGCCCACAAACACAAAATCTTCCCAAAAATCCGTTAAAATGTCAAGAAGCAAAAATACATTACCATTTTTGTTAGATTAGGCTCTTAAGGCTCAGATATATACTGTTGCTCCAAACTATGATTCATTTGTATTAGAGGAGTTTCTTTGTCATTCCCTTCCCAAAAATTATCCGGCAGCAACACCATGTAGATATACTTTAAGTAGTACTTTATGTGTTTACTATAACTGAGATTTTAGAGTACATTTTATCGTAAGAACAAGGATATCAACAACTCACATAGATCAACATGGTGGATGTGGGGACTTGTGAAAAGGTTAGTTTTGGGTCTAATGTGATTTGAGCTTGTCTGCCTTCCAAGTTGAGTTTGCTTAGGTCGCAAAGCCGTGGAGTCACCTTGTCGAACTCTTGGAGCATTTGGAGGTGGTGTTTGAGTCTGGCGATGGGTTAGTGGACTCTCTCTAGACTGTATCAATATTAAGAAAGATCCACCACTACTGATCAAACTACATCAAGAATAATGCTTTAAATGCTCCCGGTAATGGCTTATTTAAATGGTAAGAAAACAACTAATGACGCCTACATTAGCCGACAGAGTTGTGGAAGCCAATATTTAAATAGATCTCGCAGGCATTACCAAATGGCACAATTTTTCTTAGACTATTTACATGTTCTCTACTTCTTTTAAAATGCGTTGAGTATGCCTTGCATTTAAAATTGATTTCTGACTATTTGACAGCTTAAAATTTTGATAAGAAACGGCTAAAGTGTTGCGCCATTCACTGAGTGAACAAAGCTATCGTTGGCTGTCTGTCTGCACGCATCACAACGGCTCTAGACGAGTCTGTCCGCTGTGAGCATTTGCGGTGAACTACAGACGAAACAGTACACTTACTGAGGACCTGAAAGTAATTACATTTGGGACCCATGCACACAATATTGCCCATTACAAGAAAACTTCTTCTTCAGAAACACCCAGTGCTAGTCAGTCAATGAGATGGTTATGGCATCCTTACTTGAGAGAACTGCTGCATAACTGGAAGTGAGAAGTTTCGCAAATTAGTTGCAATGTGAGGAAGATACTGCTTCAGCCTCTTCCTTATCCTCCCCTTTCCCCTGATGATGTACCACCAAGTGATGACGATTTCCTTTCCCGAGCGTCAGCATTGGACGCTGGCATACGAAATAGGGAGAAATAAAAGCGGCCAGTGCTAGTTTTGTTCCATAGGTGGCAATCACAAGCACATGTCTCGTTAGAAGGGAAAGAGAAACAGTAATAATTAATTATTATTTGGGAAGATTCCTTTAGAGCTGCTTAATTTTTAGAAAAAATCTGCAGGACATTACTTGTCTACATTGTGACTGAGGAGAAAGGATCAATTTATCTAATGTTTTAATCAGCGAATTTGCAGAAAAGTTAGAAATGCCCTTAAGCATTTTTGTCGTAAGGCCGGTAATTTTCAAATTTATGTTTTGTGCAGTAAATATAAAACAGTGAGGTACTTTTTAGTTCCCCGCATTTTCACTTTAGTCCTCATTTGTCATAATTATTTATTTCAAATAATTGGATATTCTTCAAAATGCACCATTGCTATACATTTCCGAAAGAATGAAATCAATGAAAAATTGTTTTAAATTCCGGTAAGTACGAAGGTTAAGATAGGGTCAAATCTAACACGAAAGGCCGCCTTGTCGGTGTGGTCAACTGACTGATGGGCTCGACTACCGCTGCGTATTTCACCTTCCTGTTCAACTGGTCTTTGCTAACTTTTCCTAAAAAAAGGTTTCTAAAAAATACAAGATTCTTGTTAAGTTTTGCATTAGGCTACAAACATTTTTTGGAGTTACACTGTTTTAGACATTAAACCCGTTTCCACCTTTGTTTCAGTTTAAACACCTCACGTACTTTTTTGTCCACAAAGTACTAACGGATGTAGGAGTCAACTGAACACAGGTTGGGGTGAAAAAGAAGAATTTGCCACAGGGAGAACGCTGCCACCTATGTAGAAGGAGGGATGAGGAAAGGTCCTTCTTTAAGCAGGGGTGTATTTTATATTTCCAGTTTTTATGACACATCAGTAATTTTCCTTGACGCCGCTACCTTCCTGTTGGTTACATCCACCGCTAGGTCGAACATAGGACCACCCGGAAGTAGATGCTCTGTGGACAAATTATGGCCGAGGTTAATTGGGAGTCCACAGGACGCGATAATAAACGTCATTTGAGTTCATTTATTAAAGTCCTTTCAAAATTCTCGCATATTGTGTAGTTCCATCTGTCATCAGAGCTCTTCTTGATGGAAGCAGTTTAAAGATCTGGTATGAACCGTTCGTATCAATTCCTTTACGATGGTAAAGGGTGGTCGAATTAATTCAGCCACTAGACTTCTTGATAGTATACGTACTCCTTTGGAAGGTTAGCAGACACTAGACGGCAAGAGATTCGTTACGGTACGACAAAAGGAAGGAATCACCGCGACTGATATCAACTTCTTGATTCATTTTCATCTCCGCACAGGGTGGTAGGGAGGAAGGAGTTTCCAAGGAATGAAAAACCCACTTAATATTTTAGGATCCACAAGGACATTTTGGTAATTAACCTTTTCAACTTCAATGTCCATGAAAATCACAGCCACATCTGGTACAGATAAGAATTCCTATTTGTGGAATCGCGGTCTAACACCGAGACAAGCCTTAACTTCATTCTTGTCAAAAATAGGAAAAATTAGAAAAAAAAAACATTGTAGCTGAAACTGATGTTTAATTGCCTAGATCCTCTTGCTGTTTTAAAACGTTGGTAGCTCTATGGGTTTCGTCCTAATAGCTTGAATTTAACTTCATTCTAATTTGAGTAAATTTTGTATTTGACAGAAAGAATGGTATCTCTATAACTCTTATAATAAAGTTTCTACAATTCGCTATTTTAGGCTGGTTGTTTGAGCTGTCGGAGCGAACTAACGCTTATTATGGGGCCAACATGACAGGTGGGCCAAGTCGAAGTAGTATCTACATTTCTAGTCTCTACTTCACAATGAGCAGTCTCACCTCCGTCGGTTTCGGCAATGTCTCACCCAACACGAGCAATGAAAAGGTATTCTCCATTGTCTCCATGCTGGTGGGAGGTAAGTCTGCTCCGTAAATGCTTCGTGATAGACAGTTATTATGCTTCAGGCGATATGTTTGATAAATTCTTAATAACGCCGGATATACACTAGTCACCTACTACATCGCCGTGGTGGTAAAAATGACAACTAGTCATAGCCTGTCATACGCTGCTGCTACGACAATTTACCATTAGAAAGACCTAGTAAATAATATCCACTTGATGATTGACACATTGTGTGATATTGACAGACTGTTGCTTGCATGGAGATGACTATCACAGCTATTTTTGCTGTTCCACCGTCTTTATAAAGAATGATTGTAGATAACCTGTTTCGGTTTTTTTGAGTAATAACATCTGCCAGCCCCAGTCGTTTCAGTTATAGAGAGCAGGAATGCTAGATAAGCCAGAAATTTGGTCAGCTTCTAAAAAACTCTTCAGTTTTACTATATTTTGTTTTAATCAAGCACGTTTGCATATATTTTGTGGCCTTAAAGGCTTTATGTATTCATTTACTGTAAGACTTCTATGTGGTGTGGCCATCTCAACAGAATCGTTCTAATTGGTAGATCGGCTACCCCTACAAATCATTCTGATAGCTTTCTTTCCCTGGTGAAATTATGTGTCTAAGGGGCAAGAAATACAAAGGTTGTCGGGATGTCTCGACCACAAGGAAGTCAAAAAAATGAAGAGCAATCATATCCCCTTATCTACGATGCTTTAAATGGTTTACAACGCTACAGTCTGAGGTAGGATGAATGACCCCGAACATTTATCATTACTTTGTCAACTTCGTTGACGGGATGCACGCCCATAGGCACGTGGACAGAGGAAGAACCTCCGAAAGTGCGGTGTAGTTGTAGTATTGCAAAGAAACCGTTTAAAAAATAATTATTTTGCTTATAGTCAAGAAGAAAGTGCCCGCTACTTCGTCCACTTGATAGGTCCTTCTGAATAGATGCCTTTACTAAATTTTGGCGAATTTAACAGCGAAAGAAAATGTTGTATCTTTCCTAGTTTTTGCTCAATTTTGGCAAAAATCTTCCTTCTCAGAATTTGTTACGTTTAAATAGAGTCGAGAACTTCCAAAGTGGAACTCAGTGCGATATTACTGAAGGCACTTTCCACCATGTCAGCAATAATCAGTCTGCCGGTGAAAAACAAAAACTTGGAAAAAATTTGGTCTGATAGAAAAATCAGTGAATTATAGATGCTTTTTTTTTCAGCTCTCATGCACGCAGCAGTGTTTGGCAACGTGACAACCATCATCCAGCGCATGTACACACGACGATCAGCCTACCAGACGAAGAATCAGGACCTGAAGGACTTCACCAGGGCACATCACTTGCCGAAGCAACTTCGGCAGAGAATGCTGGAATTCTATCAGGCCATGTGGTCCATCAATCGGGGAATTGACAAGCAAACTGTAAGCACCTCCACTGCCGTCACCTTAGCTGGGATAAGTTAAATGAACATATTAGCATAAAGTGGCGGCAACTGGTTGAGAGATTTCCCAAGACTACTGACTTTTATGCGTTTTTATTTACACTTGCATTCGAGCGCGGTACTTGTGCAGAATTTGCAATCACAAAGGCGTATAGTTTGAAGTTCATCCTTCTCTGCAAGACTTTTTTGCGCTCTTCTACACGTTGAGCAAACTTCATCACTGTTACTCAGACCTTTACCATTGTCCCTAGTTCTTTTGCTTGATAATGGTCGTGGAGTTATCTACAGCCATGATATTTGACAACAGGAGCGCTTGTGCGTTCTACCTCAGTTGACTACTAAGGGTAAAATAAAGGTTTTCATTACAAAACTTTAGGAAAAAAACCCATTTCAAGGAATCATGGTTGCTGGTTTGAAGCAGAAACATCTTTAAAAATGTCCAGGGATGCAACTTTGAGCAATGAGGCGCACTTCCTCTGGGGACCGATAACCATAAAACTTTTCGTTTGTAAGCTGCAACTTCCGTGAAAATGTTAGTTGATGGTTGCGCTTTGAATTAACCCCTTTTATGAAACCATTTTATGCTCAAACTATTGCCCAACACGGTTTGAAAGCTACCATTTCTGCATATACTTGAGTAAAGGAGGACATGCGGTGGCCTGGAGTACTTGCGCTTCACCTTTTTCGGCACTGCTATGACGCATTGCGTTTTGGCCAAATGAAAGCACTCACTTCCGAATTAAATGGATCCCAGTGGTTTTAAAATGCATTTATAAAGAGAAGAACACTGACGACAGACGAGATTTGGGCATGAAGCATCAAAGATAATGCAATACCGAGGCAGGAAAGGTAGGTGTACATTTTCTGGCGGCTGCATGCAGCGTCTTAAGACTCTCCCGAGGACGAAGGAAGAAAATACTAGGAAATAAAGTCCATTACTGAAGTACGGAAGAGCTGAAAAGGCCACCGGTATGGTCCGGATGTCACGCTGCCCAATGGAAGTACAATCGTGTAGGCTTCAGTTGTCGTGAAACCTAAGTGAAGAGTTAAACAAATAAACAAAGTACTACGAGACCCTCTTTCCTTTTAAGCGCCGTCTACGGGGCTCCTATTAGCTAAACTCCTGCATCGACCATCAAAGCATAGTCGAATTTGCGTGCAACTGAGGTTATGCATGAGCCCAACGTCACTGATCCTCCTTGCCACCTCCACTTGCGTCTGAATTTTTGTCCTATTTGGGAACAGCACCAAGGGAAAGGCAAATGTGCTAACCACCCCGAATGTTCATCGCCAGTCGTAGGGACATTAACCTAAAGCCAAAGTCTTATAATAAAGGACTTTGTTTTTACTTGATTGCTGCCCACCCATTCATATCTACATGGGTTTTATCCAGCTAGTAGAGAGATATAGGAGGTATCACGTGTTCACCGAACTGACATTTTTACATAGGTGCCGTAAACAGCTCCGTGGCGAACTTTTATAGTCAGTTGACGGCTAGTGTCGCTTCAGATGTTAGTAGCAGTCCTACAAAACACGAGATTGGGGTGGTTGCCAAAGGTGGACGTCATTTTCAACCCTGCAGTTGGGAGTCGTCACCGATTCTCCCACCCACATCATTTGCCCTTCTTACGTCACGATTTGGTTTAGCGTATTGGAATAAAAATCAAGGTAGTCGTCCCTTCTGATTAGAATCGCTTTCTGCTGCCATCATTGTAGCCTCCTAAGACTTTTCGGAAAAAGGAAGAAGACAATCGCGGAGCTTTTAGTTTCCGTGAAACCGAAACGAGGAGTCGAATAAGCCATCAAGGTACTAAATATAAATCCCACGACTCGGTAAATTTTGAGATTTGGCCATTTTGCCTTATTTTTAACAAACTAACAATTCAGTTTGCTGGGGATAATTATGTGCTAAGGTGTGGTGCTAGCTGGTCAGACCGTCAGCAAGCTATTTAAATTAACAGTAAGCAAAGAAACAAACTACTTTTTCAAAAATAGAAAAGAATGCATTCAAAAATAATGTATTGCCGTCCTCAAGCCTTTGTGCAACTACATATTTCAATTCGGTTTCCAATTGTTTCATGAAACTGAAGTCCTTTGATGCAGTTTTAAGTGACAGATTTACAATTGTGCCATCAACGCGAAAAATACGGGAAAGGTGTCCGAAATTTCCTAAAATGGTGTCACCAAGGCTGGGAAAATGCGTGGAAGCAAGCATAGTTGACAGGAGGTTAGGCATTACTCCAAGCGTCTCGGATATTGCTCCCTTAGCCTGCAATTAAGAAATGATCCCCTTCCTTGATGACCTCTTTTCACCTTTAATCAAAGGCTGGAAAACCTTTTACCTACCTGATGTCTTCACCTACCTAATCACTACTTGAAGAGAATAACAAATAAGACTTGCACAAAGGCCTTGTATATTCTTCTTTAAATCCTTTTGGCTACCAAGTTTCTCTAAAATTTACCAGCCATGATAATGGTGTCTGTCGCTACAAAAAGGAGTAAAATATTATGTTTTGTCTAATCATGCAATAAGCAGCCCATATCTTGTCTAGATTGCCGTGTAACGGTTGGTTAACTCCAGCTGAACGTGTTCCTAATTTCAAAAAGAAAGTGGCGGGATGATCCACGAATTCCCTATAGTAATTTTATTTGCATTCTTTTATTTAGATTTATTCTTTTTTGTTCTTATAAGTTGATTTTTAAGGAATAAATGCTTATTTTTAGGGACTTTGTGCCTCTATTCTTGTTAGTATACCCTTCCATGTGGTACTTCATTTATGCAGCATAACTTTCCGCAGTCTAACGTCCAAGAGAGGGGAGGAAGAGGGTCTTGTGACCTGGTTCTGCGACATAGCGATGCATTTTACAGATAATGCAGGCCTTTCCCGAGGAGATGCGTGGAGACATAGCGCTGCACATAAACAGGGAGATGCTTTCGCTGCCTATCTTCAAGTCGGCTAGCATCGGCTGTCAAAAGAGCATCGCCCAACTCATTGGTACTCGCTTTGCCACGCCCGGCGAATACCTTGTGCATCGTGGTGATGCCATTCGCAATCTCTACTTCGTTTGCAGCGGTTCTCTCGAAATTCTCGATGAAGAAGGCTCGGTAGTTGCACTGCTGGGTAAGTTATGCCCATTATGGTCTTTCCAAGGTCAAGGTCGACACTGACTTGATCAAGTGATCAAACCCGCCAAGCAGATTTTGGGCGGCAAATTTAATTAAATGATGCGAGATCATATGTTGCCACAAATTTACATATTTGTAGTTTTATCAGGGCGTCCCTTTTGCAATTTACCTCATTCTATATGCCCTAAGGTATTTAATTTACCCTCTTTGCCAAAGGTATTTGGGTTATATGTTGATGTAGCATTTGTTTGATCGGCATCGGTGATTCACTTTTCACCCGCGAGGTCCCAAAGCTAGCACAAACCATGTCGCCGAATTTAAGTTGCAAAGTAATAAGGGGTGGATCACACTAGCCCCACAATACGGATATTTTCATAGGCATATTCTGTGTCAAGTAATCATCTGTTTTATTCCTGTCTATTATAAGTTATTAGTTCGACATTTAATTTCCTCAAACTTGATGAAATATTTGTCAAAAATTTGTTTTTTGTCTGTTCTTGATATGACAAACCTCTGCTAGCCGTCCAAATTAAACACACTGAAAGACGCTTCTACAGTTTTAATTTGAATAAAGCTACAGTGCATTTTTTCAGCTAATCAGACCCACCGAACGAAATATACCTTAAAACCCTGGTAAATTTCGGCAACTAACTTTAGCTAGCTAAATATGATAGGGACAAAGTCACTGTGGCAACTGTATTTTGTGAATTACTCGGTTTTTGCTAAATTTGCTACACTTTTTCCCAGTAATTGACATTAGTTAACGGCCGAGGGTTTTGTGAAAATAATGGGATAGCTTTTCTAAGGCAGATCGCTTTTTCATTATATGCTAGGTTTTGGCCAAAGCAGGTACCTTTTAGATGAATTTCATTCCAAGGTCTGCTATAAATCTATAAAAAGCAAATTTAACGAGGATCCCTTTTCACAGTCATGGCCTGACTGTATGATCACAGTCCCTCTTTGATGCGTACATCTAATACTTTAAACGCATCCAAGATTAGCAGGGCATAGAAATGATCGGTAATTGCCTGAACAAACCGGTGTGATACTTAAAGTGGAAAAGTTTTCTACCCAGTAATATCACAGACGGTTTTATGGAGTCTGATAAAGGTCAGCTGATAAGCACGACCAAGGTGGCGTTCCACGTCGACACCCCTTTCCACAATTCCCCACTTTATTGGCTATTTCACTAGAGGAGCAATCTAATGCAGTCCTAGTTGCAACAGTACCTTTTAAACTAAAGAGAACTTTACTTCTCCAAATGAACTGTACTTTTTGGCGATTTCATTGTTTTAATATCACGTCCTTTCTCATTTTTCCTATTTGTAATAGCCAACTATTGTTTTATAGGCCACGTGTGATTAGCATCAAATTCTACATGCTATTTCTATAGTTCTCTCGAAGCCGTTAAGCATTTTATAAGAGCACAAGTAACAGTTGAATTCGTCAATGGTAAAGGTCTTTTGAAAAGGCTTAAACTCTTCCGGACACTATGGGCACACATCCACTTAAGTGCTCTTGGCTTTGGACAGAAACTTTAACAGACAATTCCAACAACTTATTGTTAATCAGTTTTAGTATAATGGGGTTGTTTTTTTCTAATAGCAAAAATTTTACACTAAAAGCACAATTTTTAGTTAGAGGATAGTATAACATGGTTCTTTGTGAATTTTAACTATGAGACCACCGTTTGTTACAGAAAAGAAATGGCTGCTTTTAAGGAGCTGAATTCATACCTCAATTATTCATCCATTTATTTACTCCTTCTTGATGTGTTTCTTAACATTTATAAATTACTAACACAATGGTTAATCCTTCATGGCATTCTATGAGGAATAATGTGGAGGAGTGCCTGAGTTACTTAAAGTGATTTGAATAAAATAATATTTGTGTAGACTGAGGAAGTAATACAGTAGGACTTTTAAGGAAAAATATCAATTTAGAAGAGAAGAAAATGGTAAATCGGCTGAAACTCATCTGAGACAAATTTTGATTGCACGCACTGGAGAAAATTTCCTTGATGACTAAAAAAAAAATGCAGTTTTGATATTAATAGCTGAACTGGCCTGATGTAACTTTCGGAGCTTATAAAAAACATAGAATTTTTTACATGCGTCCACCAAAAAGTAGCGATTTACGACAATCTTGCAGTATTCTTTGTTGTACGATACAGTTTATGCTAGTTTTTACCATAAAATGTCCGCCTAAAGAATATAATACAACTCGAGTTTGTCTGTTTCCCAAACCAAGTCCGATTCAGTTCCGAGGTTGCGGAATCGCCTCACAAAAATGATTTAGTACCTGGACAAAGCATAATATGTGATAGCATAGCATACAAGCCAGAAACAGTGCACACAATTTAATTTCTGTGTTGGTATGGTACACTTGTTTGTGAATAAATTACTTTTTGGAAGAA